ATTTACTCGCGACTACGATCTTTTGGCGGTGTACGTTTTTACAGCGAGCAAATTATACCGCATAAATTTCCTCTCGTGCTTCTTCTATTGGATCATCCCACGAGTTGTGTGCTTCTTCTAACAATTAAGTTCAAGACGATACGAGTTACTATGGGATTTCTATGAAATTGGAGATAAAACTTACTAAAAAAAGAAAGACACGAAATGATAAAGATAGTAGGAAAATTCGTTATTGATCGATCTTTTTTTATTTTCAGCTGGTGTACGTAAAACCGATGGCCGCATTAGTTATGGGATGACTTAATACCGGTTGCCGACCGGCGTTGCTTCGTTACTGGATTATATCCAGAACGAATTACGCTTTGCTTCACCGGATAATCACGCGGTTCGATTTAAGTGCTGCGAAGTTCCGAAAATTGGCTGCAGTGATAAATAACGAAATCGAATATTAAATAATGGAATCGAATAGTCATAAATGGATTTATAGGATATGGAATCACGCTACTCCGAATGGTCACGAAAACGGCACGGTCGTCGGTTCGATAAGTCGAGACGAGTCGTAAAGCTAGCGGTCACGGACTTGTCTCGCGGTCTAATATCGTTTATGTCTCGCCTTTATGATCAACTTATCGTACTTTTGCGATTACCCTAGCATAATATTCCAATGTTCTCAACATCGTCGTCGAAATTTCGGCGATATTCGGCGATAGACAACGGCTGGTTTCTCCTGAAGACTACCTCCAGTTTCCACGTTCTTTCGATTCCTCGTGTCGCTTCCGCAGTCTGGTCCCGAGCAACGCAACGGGGAAAATTACGAGGTATATCTTTCTATTAAATTTTCTCTCATGGACGAGACGCAGGAACGGCGGTTTGATCGGACGCAGTTCAAAGCTGGCCAACGTTCCAAGGTAGACGTCCGGAAAACGTAGAGTTGAAATACGTTTTGTATACCTGCAATCACCTAATAGCTTGCCGCGTCAGATAACGCTCGCTAGCGTAGTGTCCACCGGATCGATGGAAATTCGATAGCAATACACCGGCGATGAGTAAATGAAAGGCCTTCGTTTGAAAACGGGATACCTAAGGCTCGAAAGCCTCCTGATTTGCTTCGCGATCGTTCCCATTGCGATATAATTAAATGGCAAAGAGAGTTACGTGCTTCAAAAAACACGGCACTGAAGGTAATACGGAAGAGCCGGCAAGAGAAAGGAAGAGAAGATTCACGGGATTAACGTGTTTGCGAAATGCAGGCTGCGCGACTCCGATTCTTTGAGCGGCACGAAGCGCAAGGCGTAAGGCGCGAAGCGCACGGCTCGTAATTATAACATTTACCCATTTAATTTACGGGCGAGGGGGCGCAAAGAACGTCGCGCGGAAGCACTCTCGATAAGGGCTCTTACGCGACGGTGCACTTTTGTCAGCCTGCTCACCCCTCCGGTACTTACGGATGACAAATTAGCGAGATAACTACTGCCGGCCGGATAATAAACGCCCAGGAACACGGTTGTACGTAACGACAACGTACGAACGTGATAATTTCGGAATAATTGCCAGCTGCAACCGTCGGCATTGATCAAACTTCAACGAGAAGCACGCGTATTCGTCTTGCCTTGATTAATTGTTAATATTAATTCACCGGTGGTTGGATATCGGACTCGGTTTTCCGCCAGTCGTTCGTCATATCGACGCCGAACGCCCGGTTAAATTAATTTCGATGTCGAGATTCTCGCGGTGAATATTAATCAGCGTCTCGCAGGCACGCGCCACTGTCCTTTCTTTCCACTCGGTAGTCGCCTAACGCGAAATTAAACAAAGACACGGCGGAGGTTCTCGTTAGCTTTTAAGGGAATTAGAAAGTCATCAGCGGACTGTCAAATAAACTCTATTTTCCTCTGATAGAAATTCTGTTCAACCGATTACTCGAAAGGACTGAATTCTTTTGAGAATGTCTCGTTCCCTTTGCCTTCTGAAAGCAACGTTCGGTGGTCTCGCGCGGTACGCGAGTTCAGGCATCGCCGCTTCCACGAATCTTGTTTATTGCTTAATTCGATTGACGCGTAATTTTGAGCCGCGTCCTGGGCTTTCAAGTTAATTGAATGCTGGTGGAAAATTAATGTCGCGAGGCAACGTCGGGACTCCTTTCAACGCTCGCCCTCTGTTTTCTCTTTGCCGCTTTTTTGCCCTCTCCTTTTGTGCGATAGGAATCCATCGGCGCCCCGACTGAAATTTCTTGCCCTTTGCAAAGAAGCGCGATCGGGAACGACGTGGCTGGTACGGAAGGAAAAACAGATTCCATTACGAACGATATCAAAATTTCTCGCTGGTCAAAACGAACTTTCGTTTCGTGCAATCTCGATATCCTTCTCTGCTTGCATCTGGCTGCGCGATACCTTCGATACGGTGACATTCTGTCTATCGAAACTCTGTAGATCGTGTTAAGAGACGGTGTGGCGATCTTACGCTCGTGAATCTTCCACGTACACGCGACCAACCCCGGGCACGTTCGATTTTACGACGAGGACCCGTGCTTCCAGCGGAATGAGCGGACTTCGGCCGGTCTGCGTCGTAGACAGTAATTGAAAATTACGACAGAACGTACGCCAGTCCCGTTCATGACAGACCCGGTGAAGGATTGCCGTAAGATCTTTCTTTTATGGCGTTTCACACTGGCCACAAGTTTGCGATCGAAACTCCCCGAAAAGTCCTGGGCGACAAATTTGTTTCTATATCGATATACATACATCAGCTTGTTCTCGACCTATCAAACGGTCTGAAAATATAGAAAACGTATACGATAAATGATGTACGAAACATTTTCATCCCGTTTCCTTCGTAGCTGTTTCTCCGTTTTGAAACGACTATTCGAGAAATTAGAGTTTCGAGCGATGGCTGAAACTTTAGCGACAGGCAGTTGATTAATCCGCGAGAGGTAATAAAACTCAAAGTATCGATGGGCGACGTAAAACGGTATAGAATGTCGGCCGCTAATAATTCCATCGAGGAGAATGAGTTTCCCTCGCGAGTCATAAATCAACGATACGCGAGTACAGCTGTCCTGACCAACGCAACGTAAACGACCGGCGATCTAATTGAGAACATTCTTTCACGCGTGGTCTGTCGATTAATTAATTACCAGAAGCTCGTAAAAAATTCTGCAACAAAAATTTCGCCCGTACAGTATACCGCGTGATCTTTGTGCGACGTGTTTTCCAGCTATTTTTTTCTCCGTCACGCATCGCGCTTCGTCGAACCCTTTCATCATACGCAAAATATGAAAAATCCATTTCTTCGGTCTCTAATTACTTACGAGTGTTCATTAAAATTTCTATAAAAACGGTGACGGGCGTGTCGTCGCGGAGCAATCGCGGCAAGTGCCACTTTCCTATCGATTCGCTGGCATTCTCGCGTTCCCGGTAAAGCGTTCCCACCGACTAATTACAAACGGCCATTAAACTCACCCTGCGAATCCTCTCGTCGCGTTTTCGAGAGCGAAAGCAAAAATATGTCGCGATTCACTTTCTTCTCGCCTGGAACATTGTTGAAAAGCAGAGCCTTCTCCGAGAGCTTTCGAAGCAACTCGCAAGAAAACAGTTTACAATATCGCGTAGTTGCGAGAGATAGTCGCAGAAAGGAGAGACGCGTTGTTTAAGCGTTATTACGAGGAAAGGACGGGAAAAAATGAAGAGCGAGGCAAGCGGCTCGGAAGAAAAGTTTGAAACCGTAGACTTTGACGGGCAAAGGAAAAAGAAGCTGACGGTTTCCATTACAATATGCTCGCGTCGGACCGGCAAGAAGCTGCACGCACACGCGGCTAGCTCGACTGCCACACGAATACATCATCTTTAAAGAGTAACAGCGGCAGAAGCAGCACCAGCATCAGCGAAACGAGAGTCTTGCCAACAGTTGAGTCATCAGAGAAGAGGGCCGGCCGGCTCACTCGCTATAATCGTTCCTCCGTGGATAGTAAATCCGGCCGAAAGGCCGTCTGAAATTATTACGGTTCCCAGGGCCGTGGTAACCGCTCGCAGAGCCACACGGCCACGCGAGAGATTTACAAACCGCCAATCGCTTTAACAAGCTCGGCACGTGTTCGCCGCACGGAACTCGCGTTATCGGCTTGCGACACCACCCTCGTCGTTTCTTCCCTCGATCTTTCGTCGCGATTTCGCGGGTTGCTCGCAGGCGAGAAAGAAACAGAAGAAAATAGAACACGAGAAAGTGGAGATCGTTGGTCGAAGATCGCGGCTTCTTGTGGACAAGGCGAATAAATATTTTGGAGGCGGTTCGAGCGAAACGATTAAGTGGCCTTTTTTATTTTCCAGCCGCGGATTCTAGAGGAAACCGAGCCACGACGGTAGTAATAAAAGAAATCGAGCGTAATAATGGCGATTATGTCGTTACGATCGATTGGCCGGAGGCACGCGACTACGACGGAGGCGGGCAGAAATCGATGTCACACGCGAGTAGTATTCTTGGCAACGATATTAGAAGCTGTACGAACGTTGAATCGAGAGGATGGTGGGGGACGATGAAAAACGACGAGAGAACGAGCGGCGGAAGTTCGCGAGTCGTTGTTGGAAATCGGTGCCAAACACGAAACGATTTCGTTAATCGCGAATTAGTCGGAGAACAGGCGAGTTTGTCGTACGTTATACTGGTTATAAACGTTCGGCGAAAATCTGGAAGTTTCGCGGTGTTTCGTAACCGTTTGCTTCGTGTTGGGAAGCAAAAGTTGTCTCGCGAGCGGGAACGTGCGCTCGCTACGAGCGAATAGTTTCGCGTGGGCCGCGACGAGTCGTTACTACGACGATTTTTCCGACGCACGCGAAAGGTTCGCGCATTATACTCGGTGCTTTCCTTTTTTCAGAACGGCTCCATTGAATTCCTTTTACCGCAACCTGTACGTTTTCCTCGTAAATAGCCAGAAGCGCAGACGCGATGTTTCTCCGAGCTGTTTCGCGAATATTTTTCGCTGGAAACCAAAGTGGAAGCAGACTCACCGTTTGTGTTGAATCCTGAGGCCTCTTCGAGGGTGCAGCGGTATACCGTCTTTCAGCCAGTGCACCCTTGGGGGCGGAGAACCCCTCGTTCGGCATACGAGCTTCACTCTCTCCCGTAACCTCGCTATCGAGTCCCTGAGCTCGGACAACGTAACCTCCCTCACTGCAATCAGACATATTACGCTCGTTAAAGTCGTGTAGTTACATCGTCGATTCGTTGAATCGATGAATCGTTTCGGATCTTTGATACCTCTATGTGAAATTCGTCGAAGTTACGTCGACGATCGCAAATGAAACGGAAGCTGGACACGAAATGGAATATCCGAAAGACGATTAGGGAGAAAGTTACGAACGACGTAGCCTCGTCCGTGGGAAATTCTGACGCGTAATGAATTTCGCGACGGGTAAATCTGCGCCGTTGAAAGAGAATTCTTAAAGCGGCCACTTTCGAACTTTTCGTCCAACTACGTGTCTCGAAACTTCTGACGAAACTTCCGGCGAAATCCTACCGGAGTTTTAATAAACTTTTCGAGAGCCGTACTTCTCGCCACCGAGAGAAACGGCTCCACGAAGCAATATGTGTTCCAAATTGCGCGATCTTTGACGGGGAAACTATTCGCACGTACCGGTGATAATTTCTTATCATCGAAATTTCCTCCTAAAACTATCAAAAGAATGTACCTAGCAGTAGAAGGGTTGGGAAGGATGTATTCACGGAATTTTTCGTTTCCCTGCGGTGAACGTGGAACCGAGAGCATCCGGCTTGTCCCGGCGCGACCCGAGTTCGTAAGAAAAGGCAGAATCGTTAGAGGCAGGAAGAAAAGGGCATTCTTTACAGGGAAGTAGCGTAGTTCGCTTTAAGGAATCGTATAGAGTAGGTTCCTTTTCGCCACGGAATACCCGGAACTATTGATTTCAAGTCAAAGCGTTGTATTTCCCGGGGGCTATTGAAAATCAACGTTCAAGATTATCGAGTAACAACGACTTTGAAAGCTGATCCACTTCTAGAACTGCCGACGAAGAACAACGACACTACGAACTGCGATTGTTTGCCATATCGTACGCGCTATGTGTAACGTTTCACGAATGGAGAAAGCACGGAATACTCTTTCGTCGAGCGATCTTACATTTGACGAGATGCAACGCGTCGCAGCAGGATACGAGCTCGTTTGTTTGACGACCTCGATAACAGACACCTTCGAATCCATCGTCCATTGAACGTGGATCGTGCAACGGGAGGACTCATTGTGTTTAATCCGATGAATCTCATTTGCACGATGCATAATACACCTCCATTACGACCGAGTCGTTGCTCCCACCATTCAGGTGGAGCCGCGGCGAGATCAAGCGGCTGAATAATAAAAACGGCCGAGACTCTCCACAAGGAGAGAGCTTTCGGCGTGTTTCGTAGGCCGTCGTGAAGAAATCCTTTGCGCCAGCCCCGCATTATTTCCCGATGAAAATGTCGGACTTCTCGGTCGAACGCAACGAACACGTTCAATGAAAACGCCCGTTCCATTATGCCACGGACCAGGGAGAATAATAATAACGGGGCGGCTGCCGGTTCTTTGCCTTCGTATACCCTGTAACGACTCGTGCACACGCTTGCCTCTCGTTACCGAGGATTCTCTAATAACCGTGCAACGAGAAAAAGCGTCCTCGTGCTCCATGGTTCGCCGGACGGTGCATTCGAAAGGCTTTCGTTTCACTCGAGGAGTTGGATTTCTGTTACCCCGATAGCTGCTGCCATTCTAAATTGGGTCCGAATCAAAACCGTTGGGAAAGTGGGTCGGTGGTGATTCTAATTTTAGATCCGCCAACCTTTCCTTACGAGCTCGTCCATTGTATCGTGGAACGAGTATAACGGATAAAAATGGATCACGGCTCGCTTTACTCGTGTCCTTTTCTTACCGACTCTTTGTCATCTCATCGTGCTACTTCGATAGTTCGTTTCTCGTGTACTTTTCATTACGTATGGTAATGTCCTCGTGCCGTCAGTCACGACAAGCTATCAGCCAAGAATTCAGGATAATCTACGTCAGAAACGCGGTATCATCGAAATAATCAAGGGCCCGATACGCGATCTCAATCGCGTTTCCAGTTTCGAACGAATTTGCAAAAATTATTGCGCGTCTCGCGAAAGATTGATCACAGCTTCGTGGTTTAATAGCGAAATCGACGATATTTGCAATCGTGTAGAACCGAGCCCGGCAATCTCACCAGCAGTTCTTTCTTTTGCTAGGGTTTCGCTATTTTTCAAGTCCGTTTCTCGTTGCTACGGCGCCTGGTATTTTGACTAGCGTGCTCGGCGTAATTACAGCATTCCCTCGGGAGCCGAAACGCGACGCTCGAATTATCCACGACGTTCCACGTCGCGGCAAGAACGCCTTCGGACATTTAATACGTTTCCATCAATGTCGTCGTCGCCGGGCGACGCTGTTACTCGAAACTTACCGTGCCAGCTTCGTATTCGCCGCGTACGATCCTTCGGAATAGCGTCGCGTACGAATCTACCTCGTCCTACGAGCTTACGTATCTCACAGACGAAACATCGGGGCTTGGTTAACGTTATACCGCATGCCATGCAATCTCGTCATTTCCGTTTCAGAATCCACGCCCGAGATTGATCCGCTTTGATTTTTAAAGGATTAAAACGAACCTTTCGTTAATTAATATTTCATTCCTCGAATTAACAGTTATTATTCCTGGCTGACCTAATTAGTAAAAAGGTGGATTCCTTCGATAGATAAAGAGTTCGTAATGAGCGCAGCCCGCTCACGAGTGTAAAAAGCTTATAGCAGATTAAGGAAGATTTTCAGTAGTACGAGTCAACGTATGGACGCGCGGTAAGGTTCGTAAGAAAATCTATGGAAGAAGAGATTGGAGATCGTCGTTCTTATTATATCACAGACATTTATTCACAGTGACAGATAGATTGTTTCAAGTTGATTAGCGTTCAGATTTCGGTTCTGACAGACAGTACAGTGGAATAGGTCAGCGTATCAACGAGCGCCAATGATTTCTTGAAGTCGATTATCGACTGATTCGTAAATATACTATCAAACGGAGGTGAATTTATTTTTCATTTTATTCTCGTATTATAGCGGCTCGTGACTCTTTTCTATGGATCGCAGCAGACTGCAGGGAACTCAGCTGTCGCAACATTTTTACGACTGTCTTGCATCGTGACCCGGTTAATAATTTCTTGTCGTCTCGGAACAGGAGTTAAAGATACGAAAGAGGCGACCTAGAACTCATTAATTATGACGCCCGCAATTTCCTGGCGATCTGGTCGCGTCTCCGGTACTTTGCAGTTCGAAAAGAAGTGGTCGGCCAAACGAACGTTTAAACTAAACGACTTAAGTCTTGATCCGTTTACGAACGTCGTCAAATATTTGGATCTGCGAGTGTATACAAAAATTTACTGGAACTCTATTAGCGTCACGCTGCCAAGTTTCCAGAAGAACGAAGTAAAAGCTGTTTTCTTGACCGAACGTTTCCCCATTTCGACGTTTTATTTCCAAGCCGTGGATTATTTGAAAAAGCGGAACTATCTCGTAGTCGTTGGTCGGATTAAGTCACGGAGATATTAATTCGAGCCAATAGCTAAAGTGCTTTTGCGCGTTGAACCGAAAGAGGCAGGAAGGCAGCTAGCCCGGATCGGACAATGCCTGAAATTCACTTGGAGGTAAGAGGATTTCGCGTCTGATTTTTGGCACCACCAGCTTCCCGGTATGCGTTATTAACCGGTTACGTCTGTGCGCGTACGTTCGAGGAGAAACGTAGTGGCATTGGTGCGAATAGGAACTATTGAGGTTATTCGGTGTGTAAACAGAGAAAACACGTGGATAA